AATCATGCTTGCAGGACTTCTCGCGGGTGGCTCCCTTCCTATGGAATAGCCTGCCTACTGCCATCAGACTCTTCAATCCTTTAAGAAGTGCCTTAAAACCCATCTCTTTAGGAAAGCCTATGCCTCCCAGAGTAACCTCTAACTCACATACCTGTCTATTGCTCTCTCTTAAAGGGCAGCACTCTACTCTCTCCTCCAGCTCTGCTTCACTCCCACCTTATTTGATTGCTATTTCCTTTCCTGTTGTGTTTTATACCCCACCTCCTACAGACTGTAAGCTTGTTTAAGCAGGGTCCTCTTCAGCCTATAGTTCCTGTAAGTTTTCTTGTAATTGTCTCATTTATAGTTAAATCCCCCCTCTCATAATATTGTAAAGCGCTACGGAATCTGTAGGCGCTATATTACAGGCAATAATAATAATAATAATACTATTTGCAATAAAAATAAGATGTCTCCTACAGTAAACATCTGCTCATGTGTTTCGTGGGTACAGTGTTTGTTTATAGTTAATGCATTGTGTTTGTATATGGAATTGAATGTGTATGTATAATGAATGCACTGTGAGTGCATAGTGAATGCAGCGTGTTTGTATATAGTGAATGGAGTGTAAGGTGGATGCAGTGTGTGTATGTTTATATTGAAAGTTGTATGTTTGTGTTTAGTGGATTCTGTGGGTGTGCATTGGATGTAGGGTATGTATAGTAGATGCAGTGTGTGTTCGTATATATATATATAGAATGCAGTGTGTGTGCATAGTGAATTTCATGTGTGTGTAGATGCAGTGTGTGTAGGTGATCTTGTGCATGTGAAAGCAATGTAAAGAGTTTGTGAATATGTGGCATGGAATAGGGACTGGGGGTATTTAAGTTGAGATTTGGACCGAGCCGACAGGTGACTTCATTGCAAGAACATCAGTGTCACAACAGACTGACATCTGTCACTCTTTTTCCCATTCCTACAATTCTCCTTTAGCCAGTGGTCGCAATGATGGTTACTGTGACTGAGAACAGATCGACGCTGATTTTATTTCAACATTTGATTGACAGATGGGATGGTGAACCTTTTTTAAAGTAGTTTTCCTGAAAATCCTGACATTTGCTCGCAGTTCTGCTAGAACAATTCAGACGTTGTTGTTTATTTTTATTTTTATTTAAACTTGAAGGATTCAATCTGCTGCATACACCGGTTTTACAGCCAAGTGCATGTTACATAACCCTGGGTCTAATGGTCTATTCATATTCACTTATTTGTTCCCTTCGGTCCTCTGTGAAAGAAAGTGATTGTTGCCACTGCACTGCGTAGCTGGAACAGGCAGCAGACGAGACACAATAGGATTTTGCTGCTTGTAGCATCAAGCGTTTTGCTGCAGAAGCAAGTAGCAAGTTTATTCACTGTATCTGCTGATTATGTCTAGAACAAAGTGTCTGTATTTACTGATTTACTGGATCCCAGCACATACTTAGACAATTGTTCTTTTTTTTAACCTCTGTTTTTATCTTCGCTGCATTCCTCAGTAAATATCGGTTAGCATCCTGCATTCTCATGAGAAACCAAACTGTTTAATGTAACGAGAGGCAGGCATAAAAGAAACCTTTTAAATAAGGTTTTCCATTTACCTGCAGTAAGGTTTTTGTTTCACTCACCCTGTTTTACCCCAGACATATTACACAATAGACAATGAATCAATGTGTGGATCGATACCTTATCAAAATATCATAAACAAAATATCCAGATACCAAATATCTATTAAAGACTGCAGATTATACAGTGCTGGATGTCCTGTTAGACACATTATCAGGTTGCCTTGGGTACCATAGAATTTTAAAGCCTTTAATATTGGTGCTGGGCGCACCTGATACTCAAATCTGATTGTTGGAATATATACCAAGCACCTATCCCGTTGGAGTATTAGGACTGTGATCATATCCAAGGGACTGTGTTCATGTTCAAGGGACTGTGACCATATTCAAGGGGCTGTGATCATATTCAAGGGGGGAGCAATGTGCACAAGGCACAACTAATGTGTAACAATTTGCTGTCACCCCAATCATATCCCTAAACCCAATGTAACAGCACAAATTGTCCAAGTTATATAGTTTTAGCATCTCATTATAGCTCTGCAATTATTAACTTAAGGTGACATTTTATCCAAGAAAATGATTCTCAGAAGAACAGATTGTTATGACAGTATAAACCATCGTTCATCTTTAAGCGTTTAGAAAATGCTGTTTTTTATTATAAAAAAAACACCTATGTATCTTTAAATAATCTACAATGCTAGCAATAATAGATTCCTCGTCTTTTTTAAAGTTGTAATAGGCAAAGTGATGATTTTGCATAATTAAAATGTTTTGAAAAAGGCAAACTTACTGCTGAGTGAGCTGTCATGTAATCTAACTGATTTGACAACACAGACAGCCAGAGGCTGTGAGGGACATATGCCAACAGCAGGGGTAACAGAATTTTAGATAAACGTGTCTAAAATGTACCTGCCCAGAATGGTAAAACAGGGAATATATTTGCGGTCGCACTCTGTGATTAGTGGTCTATTTGAATTTACAAAGGAAAATTTAAATAACATAAAAAAACAACTATTTAAGGACCTGGATGTTAGTGGCAGCCCAAGCATCATGGGAAATGGAATTCTCAATAAACTGCAGTGCCAAGGTTAATCAATAGGAAAACAGGAATGATCCCCGCACTCAAGAACAATTAAATTGCAAATTTAATGAAGATCCCTACATGACATAACAGCAGAAATGTTTCAACCTCAAATGAGGTCTTTATTTCACTGCTCATATAGAAACATAGATTGTGACGTCAGAAAAGAAGTGTTTGGCCCATCTAGTCTGCACAATTTTTGAAATACTTTGATTAGTACTTGGCCTTATATTATATATATTGGGTTCTGCCAGCCTCAGGTCCAGATTTGCACCCTGGACTAAAAATTAATAAGACTGCGGATTCCTTTTGTTCTTGACACAATAAGGTTAGTCAACACTGCTGTAGGAAGTGCTGAATTAGCGATGAGAATTCTGAATTTAATGCAAATGATATCTGCTTGATATGAGATAAATGAAAAGACAGTTCATTACTTCCTAATGACTACAAAGGAATGAGAAATCAATTGCAATGAAGAGAATCTTGGCATGAGGCATTTTTCAAAGAAAGGTCATGTCTTTCTGATAATTTGCTAAACTCCTCCCATATGTCAATGACCGCCGTATCGGAAGGTTGGCAGACATTCAGTTAGGTGGACATTCTACTAACAATTCTCATTATTGGATTTGTAATCAAGGGTATGCGTTCTCTGCTCGTGTGTAATGTTGGAACAAGATTTAAATTCAATGTTGTAGAATGCAAATGTTCAGTGTAAGACGCTGAAGTATTAGGTTCCTTTAAAATAAGTCAAAGCACAGGTTCAACATATAATGTAGGGAAGAAACAATCGATTCTATAAGGCAAACAGGAAAATTACATAGAAGGTCACAAAGACAAAGCCACAGTGATCTAGATACTCATCCATGAGAGCAGCAAAGAAAATGGTAGATGGTGGACAGCCTTTGCCTTTTATAACATTTAGGACAATGTGAATTTGCATTGTGAGTTTTTGCCTTTTGTTTACAATTGAGGGAAAGAATATAGAAAGATCACAGCACTATATGAGCCTCTGTGTCTTTAATGAAATTCAAAGTGCAGGTTCAGGATTGGCCATGGCGAGGTGCGTCATTTATGGGAGCTCCTATTAATAATGATTTACATTTTGCCTTTCGGAGAAGGTTCTGCAAAAACATATTGCGGAGAAGGTCCTGCAGGAGTATAGTGAACTTAATTTACTTTGTAATAATCAGAATGAAAGCAGTGATAATAAATAGTGGCACTGGTAATAAAATTTTAAAAATAATGTCAATTTTCCTTTAATAATAAAGACGACAAGAAGATTGTCTAATGGACTGGAAAGTGTCAGGACACAGGAGAATTGAAAAACCGCAGGGAAGATCTTCTGAGTCCACAAACTCTGAAAATATTGCTGCTGCAGGAGCTGATAGTATGTTAATTTCAAACCTGTCTGCCCTTTCCCTACTCTGATACGAACGAATACATCTTAACACTTTTTTTTTGCAGCAACAGCACATTTCTCACAAGAATTCTAACAATGCATAAAAGAGAAAAGTACGTTTTTTTTTCCTCCCTTTCTTACGATAAATATTGTCAATTTTCATATCAGTATTTAACCTGTCACCTAATTCTGTGCAAAGGATGTTTTTAACTGTTACCAACTTTTTTTGCATTAATGGTAGATATAGAGAAAGATATATGCACACTTATACATCCTACATATTCATGAGCTTTTAAATAAAATTGTGCGTTTAGTGCCACCGAATATTGTTTCAGTAAGTATTTAGCTATTTAGCTATTTCCTGTCATTTGCTGTATGCATTTTCCACTAAATTACAGGAATGAGGTGGGGAGCAGAAACACAAAGTGAGCATTGCGTGATATCCTTGTTCGTCTCACTGCGCCATTATGAAAATGTCCCCTCGGGAGGTAGCCTGGTATAAACTGTAAACGTAAGAAAGGTCTCAGTAAAAGTGAAAGTTATCTTAGGTTGGAGAGCACAGTGAATTTGTCATTTTATTGATGCCTTTGAGTTTTTTTCTGTGTGCAGCTCAAAACATTTGCCATTGACGTTTTGTATTTATAAGCCTTTAAAGAGAAAGTAGACGGCAAAATGAAAGTATTTCAAAAAAGGTTTGATCCTGTTTGAAATGTATGCTTGTTTCGATAAGCAGTTGAAGCAAGGAGTTGTCTCTCTCCATGGCTATTTTGTGGCCTTGGCAGGGAGCGGCGGGTAAATTTAAATTAAGGGGTGTCCAAGTTCCGTCATGCCTACGGCAGCACCAATCCAAAATACACCACTGAATACATATTTATATATATATATATATATATAATACAAGTGTAGATTGGATTAGCCGCATTAGTCCAGTAGACACGATGCCAAAATAGCAGAGTATTGCAGTATGCAATGATAACCTTTTTATTGGACTAACATAATATTTCATAGATAAGCTTTCAAGAGTTTTCCTCTGACCTGAGGAAGAGAGAAAAACTCTGGAAAGCGTGTCTTTGAAATATTATGTTAGTCCAATAAAAAAGGTATCATTGCATACTGCAATACTCTGCTATTTTGGCATCGTATATAATACAAAATACCGGACTACAAAGAGATACAGAGATACAAAACTCAACTTAACCCTGTGATTCTGACTACCTGGAGACACCTCCGCTGGCTTTGGAGTGTTGTTGGCCAAAAAGACAGTACTAACTAGTTGTTCCTGGTTACATCTGCAGCAGAAGTTAATTTAAACATGTCTAAAAATCTCCCTCCCTATATACCCTCCATATATACCCTCGCTATATGTCCTCTCTATATACCCTCCCTGTATACCCTCTCTATATACCCTCACTATATACCTTCACAATATACCCTCCCTATATACCCTCCCTATATACCCTCTCTATATACCCTAGCTATATGTCCTCTCTATATACCCTCGCTATATACCCTAGCTATATGCCCTCCCTATATACCCTTCCTATATGCCCTCGCTATATGCCCTCTCTATGTATCCTCCCTATATACTCTCGCTATATACCCTCCCTATATACCCTCACTATATACCCTACCTATCTACCCTTCCCCATATACCCTCACTATATGCCCTCTCTATATATCCTCCCTATGCAGTGCCTTGCAAAAGTATTCAACCCCCTTGACTTTTTACCTCTTTTGTTACATTACAGCCTTAAGCACAATGTTTTGTTAATCTGAATTGTATGTGATGAATCAGAACACATCAGTCTAAGTTGGTGAAGTAAAATAAGAAAAATATATAGATAAAACTATTTTTTAGAAATAGAAAAGAGAAAATTGGCATGTGTGTATGCATTCACCCCCTTTGTTAGGAAGCCCATAAAAAGCTCTGGTGCAACCAATTACCTTCAGAAGTCACATAATTAGTGAAATGATGTCCACCTGTGTGCAATCTAAGTGTCACATGATCTGTCATTACATATACACACCTTTTTTGAAAGGCCTCAGAGGCTGCAACACCTAAGCAAGAGGCACCACTAACCAAACACTGTCATTAAGACCAAGGAACTCTCCAAACAACAAGTAAGGAACAATGTTGTTGAGAAGTACAAGTCAGGGTTAGGTTATAAAAAAATATCCAAATCTTTGATGATCCCAAGGAGCACCATCGAATCTATAATAATCAAATGGAAAGAACATGGCACAACAGCAAACCTGCCAAGAGACGGCCGCCCACCAAAACTCACTGACCAGGCAAGGAGGGCATTAATCGGAGAGGCAGCACAGAGACCTAAGGTAACCCTGGAGAATCTGCAGAGTTCCACAGCAGAGACTGGAGTATCTTTAAATAGGATGACAATAAGCCGTACGCTCCATAGAGTTGGGCTTTATGGCCAGAAGAAAGCCATTACTTTCAGCAAAAAACAAAATGGCACGTTTTGAGTTTGCGAAAAGGCATGTGGGAGACTCCCAAAATGTATGGAGGAAGGCGCTCTGGTCTGATGAGACTAAAATTGAACTTTTCGGCCATCAAAGAAAATGCTATGGCTGGCACAAACCCAACACATCACATCACCCAAAGAACACCATTCCCACAGTGAAACATGGTGGTGGCAGCATCATGCTGTGGGGGTGTTTTTCAGCAGCCGCAACTGGGAAACTGGTCAGAGTTGAGGGAATAATTGATGGTGCTAAATACAGGGATATTATTGAGCAAAACCTGTACCACTGTGTGTGTGATTTGAGGCTAGGACGGAGGTTCACCTTCAAGCAGGACAATGACCCTAAACACACTGCTAAAGCAGCACTTGAGTGGTTTAAGGGGAAACATGTAAATGTGTTGGAATGGCCTAGTCAAAGCCCAGACCTCAATCCAATAGAAAATCTGTGGTCAGAATTAAAGATTGCTGTCCACGGGCGCAAACCATCCAACTTGAAGGAGCTGGAGCAGTTTTGCAAGGAGGAATGGGCAAAAATCCCAGTGATAAGATGTGGCAAGTTCATAGAGACTTATCCAAAGCGACTTGGAGCTGTGATTGCCGCAAAAGGTGGCTCTACAAAGTATTGTGAATAGTTATGCATATTGACTTTTTCTGTTATTTTGTCCTATTTGTTGTTTGCTTCACAATAAAAAAAAACATCTTCAAAGTTGTGGGCATGTTCTGTAAATTAAATGATGCAAATCCTCAAACAATCCATGTTAATTCCAGGTTGTGAGGCAATAAAACACAAAAAATGCCAAGGGGGGTGAATACTTTTGCAAGGCACTGTATACCCTCGCTATATATCCTCGCTATATTCCCTCTCTATATACCCTCGCTATATATCCTCGCTATATTCCCTCTCTATATACCCTTGCTATATATCCTAGTTGTATGCCCTCTCTGTATACTCTTGCTATATACCCTCCCTGTATACCCTTGCTATATACCCTTGCTGTATACCATCGCTATATACCCTACCTGTATACCCTTGCTATATACCCTCGTTATATACCCTTTCTATATACCCTCGTTATATACCCTCACTATATACCCTCCCTGTATACCCTTGCTATATACCCTTGTTGTATACCCTCGCTATATACCCTTGCCATATACATTCCCTATATACTTTCACTAAACGATAGACATCATACAATGCTACATCTGTGACTCTTAAATCACAATGTATTACATCACGATTTGGGGGAGAGAGCGTCATGGCATTAAAGGGTTAAAGCTTATATATATTTGCAGTCTATTGTTTGCGGTCCAATTCATTCTCAGTCCCTTTGCTTTATTTTTAATATCCTTTGCCTTTTTTGGTTATAGCCTCCCAGCTTCCATCTCGTACAGCATATCGATTGTGCTTTAAATAACTTTATCCTTAAGACTGTATCTGCACATTACTACGCTGGCTTCCAAGCCCATCTCTGCTGCCAATGGCATACATTCAACATACTTTCTATAGACTTTACTGACGATTTATAGGCCTCACAATCCCAGCCATATTTAAATGCAGAGAATGAAACAGCTGAGCTTGTTGGGCTATTTCTGTCTGCTTGAGAAATTAAAGTACAAGAGGCAAACCATTGTTTGGTGAAGAATCGATGCAAAGAGGTTTATATTTTATTAGATCTGCTGGTATGGACTAGAAAATACAATCTTTATTTGTGCGGCAAAAAGACAATATTAGTGCAGGGAAAGATAAGCTTGTGGCTCATTCAGCAACTTACCCTGACAGTTCCCGTGGTACAGCGCTACGGAATTTGCTGGCTCTATATAAATAATAAAATAATAATAACAGTTTCTTGGAAGTGAAAAGTAGTAATTGTGATCTAAATTCTTCAATGTTTTCTACTTGACTGCACTCTAAGAACTGGCCAGGTGCCGGTCAGGATAAATTCCGACTGGTAAGTCACACCGATCGTCAGCTGGAACCTTCTGATCGAATTATAGGTTGTTAGATCCATTCTTTAAAGACAAAATTCACTCTATATGCCCAATTAGTCAATCATGCATTGATACATACCACCCAACACTCCAAATGGACAAAGAGGGACACTTTAATTTTAGGTGTGTGAATGGGGTGTGGCTAGGGACAGGCTCTTCTGAGAAATAATACTTGACTTACTTATGCAATGAAAATTTCATTTGTAAACAGATTTATTGTAGTTTAAAGACACATTACTGGGAGTATTATTGCTGTGGAGCTCTGTTATACACTCAGACACATTACTGGGAGTATTATTGCTGTGGAGCTCTGTTATACACTCAGACACATTACTGGGAGTATTATTGCTGTGGAGCTCTGTTATACACTCAGACACATTACTGGGAGTATTATTGCTGTGGAGCTCTGTTATACACTCAGACACATTACTGGCAGTATTATTGCTGTGGAGCTCTGTTATACACTCAGACACATTACTGGGAGTATTATTGCTGTGGAGCTCTGTTATACACTCAGACACATTACTGGGAGTATTATTGCTGTGGAGCTCTGTTATACACTCAGACACATTACTGGGAGTTATTGCTGTGGAGCTCTGTTATACACTCAGACACATTACTGGGAGTATTATTGCTGTGGAGCTCTGTTATACACTCAGACACATTACTGGGAGTATTATTGCTGTGGAGCTCTGTTATATACTCAGACACATTACTGGGAGTATTATTGCTGTGGAGCTCTGTTATACACTCAGACACATTACTGGGAGTATTATTGCTGTGGAGCTCTGTTATACACTCAGACACATTACTGGGAGTATTATTGCTGTGGAGCTCTGTTATACACTCAGACACATTACTGGAAGTATTATTACTGTGGAGCTCTGTTATACACTCAGACACATTACTGGGAGTATTATTGCTGTGGAGCTCTGTTATACACTCAGACACATTACTGGGAGTATTATTACTGTGGAGCTCTGTTATACACTCAGACACATTACTGGGAGTATTATTGCTGTGGAGCTCTGTTATACACTCAGACACATTACTGGGAGTATTATTGCTGTGGAGCTCTGTTATACACTCAGACACATTACTGGGAGTATTATTGCTGTGGAGCTCTGTTATACACTCAGACACATTACTGGGAGTATTATTGCTGTGGAGCTCTGTTATACACTCAGACACATTACTGGGAGTATTATTGCTGTGGAGCTCTGTTATACACTCAGACACATTACTGGGAGTATTATTGCTGTGGAGCTCTGTTATACACTCAGACACATTAGGGAGTATTATTGCTGTGGAGCTCTGTTATACACTCAGACACATTACTGGGAGTATTACTGCTGTGGAGCTCTGTTATACACTCAGAAACATTACTGGGAGTATTATTGCTGTGGGGCTCTGTTATACACTCAGACACGTTACTGGGAGTATTATTGATGTGGAGCTCTGTTATACACTCAGACACATTACTGTGAGTATTATTGCTGTGGGGCTCTGTTATACACTCAGACACGTTACTGGGAGTATTATTGCTGTGGAGCTCTGTTATACACTCAGACACATTACTGGGAGTATTATTGCTGTGGAGCTCTGTTATACACTCAGACACATTACTGGGAGTATTATTGCTGTGGAGCTCTGTTATACACTCA